ATAATTATTTTAAGAGGTTCTCATATACGGTTTACCTACATAAGGGACGACATCATGTAAGGAAGCCCAAGGCGAAGCCGGACTTCCGCGCTAGTTACATAATATACTCGATCGCGAACGTCAAGAAAACGAGACCATGGCTGCAGGTTTTGGGCGTAGGACTTGAAACTAACTAAACTTTTAAATAACTGTAAACTAAAAGTCCCAAGTATTACAAAACCTGGGGTTGAGCAGGGTCAGGCAGTGATGACTAATCAGCCAAAAGTGGCAGTTCTAGTCTCCTTCGTCTTTTTCAGTAGTGCTATTTATCGAGTTGTATGTTAAATGCGTAACAGATTCGCAAGGGAATTGCGCAAACGGCAGCATAACAAAACAACGATGAGAAGAAGACGACTCGATCGCTGGGACAACACCTTTATTCACCTGAAGTTTCGAGATCCCTCGCGGATTCCTCATCGGGGACATAAGCAGCAAGTAGTAGCAAGTAAGATGGCCCCAGTTGATCGAAGATGAAGAAGGACAAAGATTCACCAAGCGAATGTATATTTTATTTGGAAAGAAAATGTTGCAATGAGAAGTGAAAATTGGGGCAAAACTCGAAAGGACAGACCTTCCAGTGGGACTTTGTCCTGTCCTCATAAACACCGAAAAGGGCATGGTAAAAACTGTCTGATTGTTAACAAAAAATGGGAGAGAAAATGCTCGCCGCATGTGCGGAAAAACACAGCCACCGAGGTTTCTTCATGAGGTAACGTGTGGGGGAGGGGAAGGGGGAAGTTAGCAAGAAAGGACAACGCTTTCAACGAAAATCTATTTAAGCACAGTTAATGGCCGAAATTAAAGGCACTTCCTCCGCGAAGCTTCGTCGAAAAAGGCCGATAGAAGTGACGACGACGAAAAGTTCAGAAGCGCGGAGGAAGATGCCAGTGTCCTCGATCTTACTTTGCAGGCTCTAAAATCGCGGAAAAATATGCCACTTTAGGGGACACCGAGAAAGTTGATCAGAAGTCATAATTTGATTGGTTAGTGGAAATCACCGACGCTGGTGCATATCAGTGGACTTATCCCGCGAACACAAGCTGCTGCAAAATTCTTAACTACATTACCAGCTGACAAAACGCTGTCTTGATTTTAACATATGTCAGTTGAGGACCATGTTTTTGCAGAATCTTTTGTCGAGGAGCACAGGAGTTCAGAGAAACAAAGTAGGAAGCATACGATAAGACGGTGGTTATCCTAAAACTCACGTGAAGCTGCATCTCCGACAGCATTGAAGACTTCCAGATCTGCTTGCGCCAGCTTCGACTGTGGATCGCGGATGAGAATAGAATGACGTAGGACGGCGGCGTGTTCCCCTCCCATTGTGGAGAGGGAAAGTGGAATGTCCTGTTCCTCGTCTAAACCATGCTGCGGTGCGACGCCACCACTAGCTGTCTCCTCTTTCAAGGTGGATTCCACATTCAACTCTCCCTTGTCCACCTCCTCTCCCGCTGTGGCTGAATCTTCCACCTTCTGAGATGGCTCTACTTCTGCCACGACATCTGTTGTTCGCACAGAAGAACTAACAGGTGGAGATAGATAAGGATGTTAAGAGAAGTCCAATCAAAATCAGAATTGCAAATACAGTGCAGTCTTAAGTGAACGCAGTCATTATCAATTTACATTCAGCTTTAAGTAGGAGGGGCCTTCGCTTGGCTGTTTAAGACATCGCAATCTCCCGTCTTCGGTCTCATTAACTCGGTCATGACACCGGGCTCAAGAGAGAGTGCAGTCGATACAGCGTAAGCCTACTACCACTATAATATAAATCAAGCGAGATTCACAGTTCCTACGCCACCTTGCTGTGAGGCAGACGGTGGACCTCGTGTGCACCCCATTTTTATATAAAAGTCTGATGCTTGCGTTTGTGGAGCCAGGTTGTCTACAGTAGGGTTGATATTCATGCAACATGCCGACATTTGCGAAAGATTGATAATCACACGCTACGCGGCATTGAGTAAGGTTGGAATAATGATTATCGTGAAGCCTTTTCCCAAGTCATTTCAGTCACGATATGATGCCGGCTTTTGAGCGAGCTTCTATTTGACCGCCTACAAAAGCCTTGTCTGTAAACAAATACTGGTTTGTTAGTACGCATC